AATAAAAAAACCCTCCCTCCCTTTTGAAAATATTCCTCCTTATTTTTACGTGAACGAAAAAAAAGAATTTTTGACGGGTGAAAGAGAGAGAGAGGAGAGGGGAGGGGCTGGAAAGGGAAGAGGAAGGGAGGGGGAAGGGAAAAGGAAAAATTTAAATGGAAAAAAAAAAAATTTGTTTTGGTTATACGACGTAAAAGTTTTTTTTTTTTTTTTTGTCTAATAAAGAGTAAACCGGAAATGAATGATTGTAAAAAAAAAAAATGGCGGATTCAACAACTTATTTATTTTTTTTTTTTTGGGGGGGGGGGGGGGGCGTTTTATGTATAACTATTCGTATAATAAATTTTTTATTTTTACATTATTATTTTTAATTAATAAAAAAAAACGACGAGAAAATAAAAATTTTTTTTTTATTTCGTGCGGTTGTCGAGGTCTCTATGGTTTTTTTGGTTTTATATCTCTATGGGTGGTTTTTTTTACAAATAAATTCCCTTCCTTTACGAGAAAAACGTTTCCCCCCCACCCCACTATCGGGTTTTCTTTTTACGTTAAATTAAATTAAAATAATATTTCAATAAATAAATAAATAAAATTATTAAATGTTTTTAGTTTTTTCTAGAAACATCTACGAAATTCCATTTTTTTTTTTTTGATAATGGCAACAGGTGCCATTAACTAAGAGAAAAGGGGTAATTTAATGTTGGTGGTTTGTGGCGTCGTCGTTATCGTTACTATGACGACATTTTCAAATATGCATATAAATATATATACAATAATATTTTCTCTCTCTCTCTCTCGCTCTCTCTCTTTTTGTTTTGTCGATAATAAAAATAAATAAATAAATAAAATAGTAATTGATCGAATATACATAAATTTTTTTTTTGTAAACGAGGAAGAAAAATAAATAAATAAATAAAATGGCGGATGATGTCGAAGAAGTAACAGAAAGTGAAAAATTTCAAAGGAAAGATATTGTTTTTAAGTAAGTAATAAAATTATTATTATTATTATTATTATTCATTATTATCATTAACCGTAATGGTTTCTCTTATTTACGTTAAATTAAATAAATCTTTGGGGGTTTCGTTTATTTTATTTATTAAAGTTTCGACAATGAAAAGAAAATTTCAAAAGAACCAGTTGCTATTAAACAAGACACAATGAAAAAAGTAAAAATGGCAAAGAAAAAAAAAGAAGAAGATGGAGAAGAAGAAGAGGAAAGAGTAGGAGGAGGAGGAGGAGGAGGAAAAATTGATAAAAATATTTATGATGAAAAAGAAATGGATACTTTAGTTTTAGAACCTGATCATCCGATGATGGAAAAATTTCAAATTGCACTTAAAAATCATCTTTTAAAACAAATCGGTAAACTTGACGAACAAATATTTGAAATGGTAAGTTTTTTTCTTTCTACGAATGTTGGGGGGCGGGGAGGGGGGAGGACTCTTAAAAAAGTTTTCTTTTTATTATGGTAAAATAAAGAAAAATTTAAATGTAAGAGTCATAGAAAAAAATTTTTTTTTTTTTTTTTGAAAAAGGTTACATTTAACCCAAAGGAAAAAAATGGGGGGCAATGACGAATCGAAAGAAAATAATTAGTAAGGGGGGGAAACGATCGGGGGGGTAAATGGACATTTACTCACACAAAATTTTTTTTTTTTTTTAAATTTTCACGAAGATAAATGTTTTTAGTTATTTGGCATCGCACCTTTTTTTTTCCTTTTTAACTATCACTCCTGATAAATTTTTCCACATTCTAACCTTTGACCTTATCATCACACCCCCCCCTTTTTTTTCCAGTCCTATTTTAATCTTATCCTCGAAACTTTTTTCCCATTTTTTTTTTGTTGTTGATATGAACCCCGTAATATTTTTATTTAGCAAAAAAATTTTATCATTTTTTTTTTTTTTTTTAAATTTAGAATCTAGAAATAAAACGAAAAGAAAAAGAAAAAGAAGAAACGGGCGTTGAATTATACACTTTTCAACAAGAAATTTTCCGACAGCAAAAAATATTAGATGAATTCGATGCCGTTATGGATAATTTAATAAAGGAAAGAGAAACATTAGATAAATCTGTTAAATCTAAAAAAATTACGTGGAAAGAAGAAGTCGATCGGTTAAATTGTGCTAAGAAAAAAGGTAATTTTAACGCCCCAAAGAGGGGGGCGGAGGGAAATTTTCCTCCATCTTTGTTATACGTGTAACCAACAAAAAAAAAAAAATTTAGTTAATAAATAACTTTCAAAACTAATGAAGGG